TGGGGAGGAACAGACTCAGGCTCAACCCTTCCAAGACCGAGTGGCTGTGGCTGCCGGCGCCGCGGCATAGTCAGCTGACTCCATCGCTGACTATAGGGGGCGAAATCTTGGCCCCCTCGGAGAGGGTGCGCAATCTGGGGGTCCTCCTGGATTCGCGGCTGACGCTGGAAGACCAGTTGTCGGCCGTGACCAGGGGGGCATTTTATCAGGTACGCCTGATTCACCAGTTGCGGCCTTTTCTGGACCGGGACGCCCTGCGCACAGTCACTCATGCCCTCGTTACCTCCCGCCTGGACTACTGTAATGCTCTCTACATGGGGCTCCCCTTGAGGAGCACCCGGAGGCTTCAACTGGTCCAGAATGCGGCCGCACGGGCGGTGTTGGGAGGGACTCGTCGCTCCCATGTAACACCGCTGCTGCGCGAGCTGCACTGGCTGCCGGTGGCCTTCCGGGTGCGCTTCAAGGTGTTGGTCATCATCTTCAAAGCGCTCCATGGCATCGGACCTGGATACCTCCGAGACCGCCTTCTGCCGCAGGTTACCTCCCATCGGCCGGTACGCTCCCACAGAGTGGGTCTCCTCAGGGTGCCGTCAGCCAGACAGTGCCGGCTGGCGACCCCCAGGGGGAGGGCCTTCTCGGTGGGAGCCCCCACTCTCTGGAACGAACTACCCCCAGAGATCCGGGTGATCCCGGATCTCCCCTCCTTCCGCCGCGCCCTAAAGACATGGCTTTTCCAACAAGCGGGATTGGCCTAGGGAATTTTAGTGGGGTTTTTAAGGGTAATTTTAAGGGTAATTTTAACGATTAGGCCTTTACGAATATTTTCTTTTAATTGGGTTTTAATTGATATTTGTTGTATGTTGTTTTTTTTTTTTTTTCATAAAAATTTTATTATTTTCAACATAAAAAAGAAATCAATCACAAATACATCACAATTAATGAAAACCCCTCCCCACCCCCCACCCGGACTTCCCAAACCAAATCCCAGGATATTATTCATCTAAAAGTAACCTTATATTAATACCCCTAACTCCACAAAGTATAATTCTACATAAATAGGTG